CGCCCACATGTTGCGCGGACTGTTAGAGACTTCTGTTCAGCACAACGCATGCAACTTCTTCCTTGGCCTGCTTATTCGCCGGATATGTCGCCTATTGAGCACGTGTGGGATATGGTTGGTCGGCGTCTCACTCGTGATCCGCGTCCTGCAGTTTCCAAAGACGAACTTTGGTTGCGCATACAAGCGATATGGAATTCTCTTCCTCAAGCAGATATTCAACATCTGTTTGACTCCATGCCACGTCGTATAGCAGCACTTATTGCAGCGCGTGGTGGCTGCACCAAATACTGATTTCGGACGCTTAATTTGTTTCTTTTGTTTTGAAAATTTCATCATTTATTTGTATCAGTACAAGTCGTTTCTGCATTAAATTTCATTTGATTCTGATGATTCTTTCATGGTGTTGCATTTTCTACAAACAGCAGTTTATATATATATACAAATTGTGTCGTTTTTTTAATAGTTGCAATATTTTTTGTTCAAAATAGAATGAATGAGTTGGTAAGGTGGTGGTACAATTTTCCCTTATGCAACAATTACTATTTCTGTATATATGTCATAATGGTAAATTTAGTACCATTGTTATAGACGATATTTTAAATTAATAGAATGGTATTAAGCGTAGTATTTTTTCTTAGAAGAAATATGGAAGATATCAAGACATCTGAACTTGCGACTTATGTCAATAGTTTTCTAGCATTGTGTATGAATCCTTGGAAATTCTATATGGTTGATTTGATCGGGCAGCTAAGGAAACGTGTGGATGCTAACAGGGTAGCAAATCCGTACGCAATACTAGCACTGTGTAATGCCCAAGATTTTATCACCTTAAATGATATTGAAAAGTTACTAGCTGCATTCCATAAAGCAGAGGACAGAACAGGTAATGTTTGATACATTTTTGACAAGTGCTTAATTATCCTTATTAATCTGTAATAAATATACCCAACAAATATTCAAATCAAGATAATATCATTTATGCGTCAATCCTTTGAGTGTGCATAAAATTTTAATAATAACTACGTACAGTACACTCTTGATTATCCGTGCTCATTCCGGAGTCACACAAAAATTATATAAAGAGAAACGTTTTCAAGATGAAAAAAATTTTATTCATTAAGTTTATAACGCTACCAAATTTTTGGAAAATAATATCCGTTATTGGATTGCTGTATATGAAATATCAGCTGCATGGTCAAAGTTAAAATCGTCTGCGTTATCACGATCGTGGAGAAAGATCATCGATGAACAATCTTCTTCAGATGTTCAAGAAGAATATAACAGTATTCTCGAACAAGCAAAATAAGTCTAAAGTTTCGAAATTCTTGATGAAGAAAATTTAGAAGATTGGTTTCAAAGGGTGAGCCTGGCTTCCAGTTTTTGACAGATGAAGACATCGTTACTTGTTATTGTTGTTGTGGCTTCTCCTCCAAATGCCAGACAAAGTCAGACAAGGTCCATCAGACCACCGACCCTAGAAATCGAGGACGAGAACAGTATATTCGTTACTTGCTAAATCAAATAGTGATGATAGTAACTGATGTAGAAGATGTAGTAAATGAGGGAAATACAATTTTTCATTCTGCTGCTCTACAATCTTTGGAAACGTTATTAGATTATATGAGAGGATTTGATTACGGTAACATTACTGCTGTTCGTAAACTATGTGCATCGATATATGGCTCATTGCACATTTTTTAAGCATCAAATGTTTAAAGGAAAATTCCTAGTTTGATGTTATATAGCATGCAAATGTCAGTAATTTTATATTTTTTGTACAGATGTGGATTTTTTCTTTAATAAAAGGGAGATTTCGGATTATCCGTGTTTTTCGATTGTCCGTGCGACCTGTCCCGGTGATTAACCCGGATAATCGGGAGTGCACTGTATATATAAAAACAACTACATGATAACTACTCTATACGCTTTTCAAATTCAAATAATAAAGTATTTTTTCTCTTTCTGTTCGTATGTGTGAATCAGTGATATTTTTGCAATACAAAGCAGATGTCTCTGTAGCCCATTTTGATGACCAAATGGTTTTATTTAGAGATATATTGGGTCCAAAAATTTCGCCAGGTCTGAATACTAGAAAGAACTCTAACCGGACCGTTTCGAAACTGAACTTATTAAGCTAACAAGTAAAGAAACATCCTTTCTGGAGAAAATTTAATTTAATGTTATCGCTTACTCGTTGTGTTCATGCCGGTTTCGATTCAATTTAAGTGTGAGTAAGCCTAAACTGAAAAGATACAACTGTGTTCTCAAATGAGCTTGTAAAAATAAAATGGGTTTTGACAACTTCCTGTTTAAAATTACGGATAATAGTTTTTCGTCAACTGTAAACGAGGGTTTTTAATGGTTATGTTATACTTTCAGACACTCAAGCTATAATAATTATGGCATTAGCTTGCGCATCTGCTCAGCCTGACAGCAGTTTTAACCGTGAAGAATTACCAGACTATACATTGGAAATAAAAAAGAAACAATATAGAAATGGAACTGTTGAGAACATCAAGACAACAGCCCTAGTTTTGCAGGTATAACGCATCAGTTTGTTTTATAAATGTTTCAAAAATATTTATATTCATATAACAATAGAGTTTTTGCAAGACTAATCAGAGGGTCTACAACAGGGGTGGCGAACCTTTATGCTCCAGCGTGCCATTTTTTCGAAAAAAATTGTTTAATGAGGCCATGGACGTGCCGTTAAATGTTTTTAACTTCGTGATTATTGGGAAAATAGTAATACTAAATACTATCAACTCAAAACTCTTTATTTATTGAAAAATGATACATTTTGCAATGTCTCAGTTATATGCGTAATTCAGCTTAAAGTAACATCATTGTGACTTCTGTTGTTGCAGATTAGATGACAAATAACTTATATTAGATTGTAAGATGTTAGTTCAAGCATTACTGTTAATTTTTTGCTGGTTATTTGTTGTTAGCTTGTTTTTTATGCTTATTAATTGTTTTTGGTATTAATTGTTAATTATTTGGTTAAAAATTGTTTATTTTTTTGTTTGTTCATTGTGAATTTAAATTTAATTGTTAATATGCTTCATAGTGAACTTTGTGATGGGTGGCGTGCTCAATATATTGTGTCTCGTGCCATTTAGGGCACGCGTGCCATTGGTTCGCCATCCCTGGTCTACAATTTAAACATTCTTGTGGCATCCGAACGAAATGATACTGAGGACACTGAAAAAAAATATTCGTTTTTGACAAAATCATTTCTTAAGGAATATTCTGGCAGACCATTTCGACAAATTAAGGAAATCACAATTTTCACTTGGTTAAAGGATATAAATTTTGTCGAAACTTTTAAAAAAATTTCTTCTTTCTTCTTAGTTTCAAACTATTGACAATTATTATCATAGATTACAGATATTTAGTTCATTTTTATTAAACTTACTGTCCATCCATCTTATGGCTCACATTTGCAAACCAGGAAACAAAATAAACAAGAAAATAGCTGGTTTGAATCTTATAGTAGTAGTACTTTATTAACATAGCATTAGAGCTGATCATTGGGCTATAGGCGGTGGTCTGGGAAACATTCTTGAGGATGATCCGAAGACATGCCATTATAATGTTTATTCTACGCAGAGGGGATAGCTTCCCCGTTTTGGTAGCCAAATGACCTGAGCGTGAAGTCGAGCACTTAGTTTAGCGAGACCGATAGAATAGTTTAGCGAGGACTGATACCACGCATTCTCAGTCCTTTCTCTGGCTGATCAAAATAGTCACCCACATACTCACTGACAATAATAAATATGTTTCGGAACATAATAGAGTTATTAAAGGGAGAGTAAAATTACAATAAATGTTAAACTTTTTTTTTTGGAATCTCAAAAGAAAAACCAATTTAACTATCGTCTGCCACAAGAGAAATTACCAGTAAACAACTTGTCCATAAATCAAGGATAATGCTAGATCTGTCAAATAAATGTTCAGAAACAAACAAATATGACTTATTCGTAAAGGCCATTTATTAAACAAAAAATAAAAAGCACTAAAGATGAAATATGTATGATAGTATTCATAAAAACTACGATTTTGCAACCTGGAGCAATTCTGAACCCTTATAAAAACTTAATATTATATGATTGGTCTACTGGTAATATTATGGATGGTATGGATGGTAATATTATATGCTCCCTTTATTTTACATTAGTAAATTGTTTGAATAGTAATAAAATAAATCGATAAACTCGTGAATCTAACCAATTGTTAAAGTTTTCGCCGCAGCATGGCGTTAAGACCGTCAGGGCGAGTGTTGCCATTTTACTGCTCATTGAGAAAAAACTCATGGTATTTTTATATGCTCTAAGGTTAGGGTGGAAACAATGTACTATTTCTCTGGGATTAAAACCTACTATATCATTCAACCATTCCTTTTTAATCTAGCATTGAGAGCTTTGCAACCCATTGGGCAAAACGAAACTTTAAAAAAAATGTTTGTTATGACGTAAGAAAAGGTTGTTCTAATGGATTGTTTCATCGTCCATGATTTAAAATCAACAATATAAATCATGCTAACGCTGACTTTTATCTTTCGGCAATGTTAACTAATAAAAATTTTCTTTCATCAAAAAATTGTAAGCCTAAATGGTTTTACACTTTTAGTTTTACCACAATGCTTTTGTTATTATAGATTTAAAAAATTGCCTGTAAAATATAAGACTTTTAGTGAAGAATGTTTTGCGTTATAAAAACAAACAAAAAAAATAATCATTAAAATTAAATCTATATAATTGATAGTTAAAGTAAGTGTGTTTCTACTGTAGATATATTTAGAAGCTTAAATATTTTGTTCGTTTGTTTACCAAAAGTTCTGGGAAAAAACTAGAAAACTGAAAGATGTAATTTTTGCAATTATTTATATTATCAAATAATACATCAAATAGTACAAAAAAAATAGCCACAGAAAGAATTTCAATGTAAAAAACATAGGTATATAATTTTAAAATAAACAATTTAAAATTAAACTGCTACCACCGGTTTGATTATTTAAGGCATTTATGAAGTTATGCATGAATACTTTCTGTAAAGTTAAATACAAATAAAATAAATATGTCTAAATTATGTACTAGACAGAAAATCCATGAAAGATTTTGATATGACGCATCTAAAATTGATTCCTAGTTCAAGCTAATTGGCTTTCTGTAAAGAATATCATAAATTAAATGCTAACTACATTTGAATTTTTGTCGCATTTACTTTAAATCAAATGCACATCAACATAGTCCTAGCTTGAGAAAATTTTTGTGGAAAATGGAAACTGTAAAAAAAATAATAATGATGATGATGATATTAAATAATATCCGCTTTTTAAGAGAAAGACAAACCTGAAGAATAAAATTTGACGACAGGCATATTCAGAATTTTTACGTCAATTCTGAAAAAGGCGTGCCCTTTTTTAATAGGAATTGCTTATAAGGCAAGGTGAGAATTTTTCTATATCATTAGTTTTAAAAAAAAATTAAATTTTGAACAAACTAAATGACACACACGGCGTAGTATTCAGAAGGCTTGTGATTTCATCATTTTTTATTGTATAGAAGTATTTCTTCTGCGTCCCTTATTAGAACTTATCATCGCGCTCTCCTTAAAATATCCATTTTTGAATATTTTAATTGGATAAAAAATCAAATTTAGAGAAAATTTATGACTTACAAAAGACTTTTCATTGTACGTGAAATTGTATCTGTTTTTATATGCTTTGGACAAATTCTGGTACTTTTCATCATCACAATATGTTTGTTACCCTTTTTCAATGTTTTTTTTTCCTTTCTTTTTTTTAATTGATGCCTCGCCTATTATGTTTGAGCTCTCAAACTCCTAAATTCCATTTTCTGAGTAACTACTTTTGTTAATTTTAAGATTTCACTAAATTCTTTGAGGCCTTCTGGTTGGGGGCAGGGAATCTTTAGATCTTGGTGAGGTCGATGCTCTGCGCGCGCCGTCCAACCTACTTCAACCAGGGTTTTCCCTGGATTTATTTCTGCATACCTTGCCTATTTTTCCGACGTGTTGCCATGGATCGCCACCAAGCCTACCTTTTTGAATCCTCTTTTTCTTTTGCTGAGAGGTCACGTGCGCGCACGTAGAGTCTACAGTATTCTCCGGATCGGGGTTAAGCTTTGATTGTATGTGAAATATTAAACAATTCATGGGTGGTCTTTAATGAACATCCTGAATGTAAAGTTTCTAAAACCTTTGGTACATCATTACAGGCTTTGTTTGCATCTGAACCAGAACCTGACGATGACAACTTTGATGAAGAAAAAGCAATAAAACAGATTCTTCGCTCGCAAGAAGAGGATGGATCTTTTGGTGGACTCATGAACACTTATTATATTCTTCCAGTTCTTAGCATGTCTAGTTTGGTCAATATAAGTAGAAAACACTGCTCAAAACTAATTGAGGATGGTAAGATACAATTTTTGAAAGAAATTAACCTATTTTCTTATAGATTACTCACTTGCCATAATAGTTACGTGATATTAAACTTATTAAAAAGGACACTACTACTACCGTCTCAAATTATTTTTATTTATTTACTAACTTTTATATTAGTTACATACTAGGTGGCTTTGCTTTTCGAATGCTTCTCATACCTACTCTCATGCTCCAGAATAATTTTTTTGTTATGAAACTGAAATTTCCTTGAAAACAGAAGCTGTTTTATTTCATAAATTTTATATTATTATTATATATGGCACAATAAAGTTTACCTTTCCTTTTTCATAATTTCGAATCCAATTCAGAGGATCAATATTGTGTTGAGTTCATATATATATATATATATATATATATAAACTCAAT